ACAGGAGCTCGCCTACTTCGCTAGAAATGCTGAGGAGTTATGGAAGTCCTTTCCACGGCCTCGTGAGCCTCAAAAAACAAAGGACCCAATCCGCTCACAGGGGGTCTGCTTTCGAGGCCCTGTTTCCCGGCCGCTCCCTTGGGACCTTCACCTGCTTGGCATGGTCTGGCACCAATCCCCCTTCGGTGCCATAGCTGGCCTACACGAAACAACACCTGTCATAGAGCATGGAAGTGTTTTCATATTTGACAGGAAATAATTTGCTTACAGAATGCATTCTTGACCTTAAAATTATGCTTTTCACAGCCTATATCGTTATTTTTGTCACTTTATAATCTGTGTGTACGGTGATATTCTTTTGCTGATCCACGTGTGCGAGAGATTCTATATCTTCTCTAGGGGTGAAAACAGAGGATCATATGGTCTCATTGGCAAACATCGGCAGGTTGTTAAAGAGCCGCCTGGTTTCCACATATCTTCAACATATTTTTATAACTTCATGTATCAGATATTGTGTCATCAAAATTTGTATATATATATATATATATATATATATCTCTATATATATATATAAAATGTAATTTTGTTGATTTGTTCTGTACATTCGACATCTATTGCATGTCTGTCCGTCCTGGGAGAGGGATCCCTCCTCTGCGGCTCTTCCTGAGGTTTCTTCCGTTTTCCCTCCCCCGTTAGAAGTGTGTTGTTCTGGGGAGTTTTTCCTCATTTGAATCGAGGATCTAAAGACAGAGGGTGTTGAATGTTGTACAGATTGTAAAGCCCAAGAGGCAAATTGTGATTTGAGATTCTGGGCAATATAAAATCTAATTTAACTTGACTTAAAGACGGTGGCAGGTAGGGGTAAGGTGATATGGACGTTATCATATTGATGACAATCACAGTCTTAATTTTGAAGTTGTTGAAATGTTTTTTTTAGAAATAATGATCCAAACAATAAAATCTCACTCGCAAACAAACGTTTAAGTAAATGATTAGTCTGATTAATCGATATAATGCAGAGAAAATTAAATGAAAATGAACATCATTCTCTGGTTATAGAGACAAATGTGGAGATTTGAGATGCCATTTTCTCAGTTTCATATCACTGATAATTAGTTATTGTTGAGTTTTGGTCACTAAAACAAGCGATTTCAAAGATGTCTTAAATTTTGGGAAACCTACAATTGGCAGTTTTCACTTTTTTCTGACATTTTATAGTTTAAACATATAAGTGAGGGAAAAAATCAACAGTATTATTGACAACAAAAAGGTAACCATTAGTTGCACGCCCGTTTGACCCGATACGATTATACGGAGAGGCTATAAATGATAATAAATAGAGAGAGAGAATAATCAATCACCCTTCCCTAGTGATAATAAGCAGGCCAACCACTGACACTGGCATCATGGAAGAATAACCTGAAACAGAAACAGTGCAAATAATACTCTACAGACATCGATGGAGGAAACAAAAGGGGAAATTAGAGGTGGGGGACATTGCCTGGCAGCTGAAGTTTGGTCAGTATACCTCCTCTCCCTTCCAGTGTCACTTCCCCTTTACTCCTTCATCCGAGACTGTGACAGAAACAGGAGCGGCAAATTCCTCCAAGCGAACACGGCACACCACAAAGAAAACACAAGCAAAGCCATAAAAATCCCTACCTACTGCTGAATCTGATGAAAAATCTCCACAGCTGACATGTCACAGAGAAACAGAGCTCCACCCACACCTCACAGACGATGCACTGTCCCTCTTCAAAGCGAGGTCCCTCACACTGAATAGACTCAGTGTGTCGTCCCCTCATCGCTAGTCCTCTCAGCTATAAGAGCAGAAAGTCCCATCAAATGCACGAGCGATCAAAGACTCTCCCCGACTTCTGTTCTACTTTGTAGGTTTGTGAATGGGCTTCTCAACACGCGTCGGGGACTTTGTATATCCACTTAACTGAAAAGACAGATCCAGGATCAGCGGGAGCCCTTTCAAGGCCTTAAGATGACAACATCATCACAGTGTATTATTTATGAGGAGTGAGATAGTCAATAATTTAACGCTAGAGATGCACAACTACTCGGCCCCAGTGGCAACTGGAAAAACAAACTGTTTTTAGATCCATACATATCTTTTTCTAGGCCTCTACGTCCACCATGCAAAAAAGGGACTCCCACAAAGCAACCAGCGTATTGCATTACATACAGGAAAGGTACAAAAGACGGGTGTGGATTCATGAGATCTCGCTCTTTACCTCTCCCACTCACCTAAAAAGCACTCAGCGTCAACACTACTGCTTCCATGGACTTTAATCAGTAACAGTAATTAGTGTATTTCTATAAGAGACTGAGGGTGAGGCAGCTTGTGGAAAAAAAAAGTGATATATGTCAAGGATACTATGTGTTTTGCAGTCAGCTGGAGGTATCTTACACCCTTTACATCTATTGTATAACCATGCATTTCCTCTTATTTCCTCATATTTACTATTTGATCTTTGCTGTTTATCAAATCACATCAGCAGCTCACATGATGCACCTATAGCTATGTATTAGGATATTAGGATATTAGGATATTTTAATATACAAGTGTGCAGGCTACTTTTTCTGCCCCAAAATATACAATAATGTTTTGTTAAAAAAAGAAGAGAGGATGTAAAGGATGCACATGTTTACAGCACATGTCACACAAAGCTGTTTAATGTAAAGACAGCTAGCAACCCTCCGAATATCATTTAAAACAATAACTACTGTGCCCAGACAAACACTCATATTACTACATATTAAATATCAGCTGAAGGAAGCTGAAATAAACACAACCAGACAAGAGTTTGTAAAAGACGAGGGGGGCACTGATGGTTAACACTGCCGGATGTTAGCATCGTTATTTATAACCTTAATCCACACTGTAGTTTCTCTCTCTCTCTGAAATCAAAACAAAATGTAACGTTAACGACATTTGAGCACATATTAAAGCTCCCCCTTTAGCACAACTACAGTAACAGTAACTACGTCGACTTTAACGGTCAGCTTGGTTGCTAACAGCAACTAGCAGGCAGCCTAGCATCCGCGCGAGAGCTAACGTTAGCTGGCAGGGGGAACGGACGTAATTAAACCGGGAAGTTATCCAAAATGCTGAACGTAGACTGGCACACATACGTATAAAACATTGGATAATCGTTGTGTTGAGTCAAAAATATTTAATTTAGGTACCTCATGTCGCAGCAAGAATTAAAATGCCGGCTTCATTGAGCGGAATGTTTGGCATTAGCACGTTTGTTGTGATTCCAGGTGCTTCATGGGTATTGTAGTTTTAAAAGCGTCACCTGGACAGCAGCTGAGTGAAACAAATATAATGCTCATTAGCAGCTCCCACTGCTTGGTAAACAAAGCGACCATTGTTTAATTTCTAGCAGCTTGAAATATCAACAGATGGCAAGCAGTAATGTTAATGAGAGTCCAAGTAACCTACTTATTACTTCTCCAATTCAACGCAAAAATATAGGATCTTATCCTTTATATCTGTAAGTGTGTTTACATCAAATTTGTTTTACACATCAAGATTTAACACGAATTTATTTGTTATAAAACCCACAAGAGAAGTTACACATTAAGTAAAAAACATACAGGTATGGCTGACAGGCTCATAGTGTCACAATCTTTAACTGTTGAATGAGTCTATTACTTCAGATTAAGTTAACTTTATCTTATTCTGTCTTCTGCCTACCTTCTGTAAATAACACTGACATGCTCAAAATAAGGCACTAAACTACAGAGTAATGTGCAAAGTAAGGAAATGTTAGACTGCAATTACAATTGTTATATAACTATATTGGCCAATTAAATGTTTTCTGGAATTATACATTAACAACGCCTCCACATCCTGATTGAGTTCTATTTACTGTAGAATAGTGCAGTGTCTGCATATTCTGTCTGTACCCTGCAAACACCAAGCACAAATATTGTACTCTCTCAGTTCTCAGTATATATACATATATTCTAAACCAATATAGCCATTAAAATACTTTTGGTGAGGTCCAGAGCTATAGACATAAAAACAAATGCTAGAAACTGTCACCACAGAAGTGTTAAAACAGTTTAAATCTTTTTATATATATTTTATTTGAATGGGATCAGATCAGAACAAAGATTTTACCTTTTATGTTTGACTTTTTGTTAATAAAGCTGTTTCCTGTGTTGCCTACGAGGAGCGTGTGATAGAATATGTTTATTTACCTTTAGAAAAGGAAACTAAAGCTGTCCAAAAGAATAACCCCCCGACCCTTACACTTCACACTACAGTTCTTGTTCTTGTCTGCGACCAATGAGAGGCCATTTATCAGCTGTAAAGAATGAGTCAGGGAGTAAAGAGCTGCAGCACCAACAGACCGAAACACAATGAGAACTTCACCAAATATAGAAACCTTCACACAATTATCAAAGATAGTTTATTTCAGAACAGTGTAAATGTATGAATTTCATCTGTTGAAGGTTATACATTAATAAACTAACCAAGTTTTACAGGCTACTTGAAGGATGTACAATATTATTATACACAGTCGAAGTTCGGGTTTGGGATGGTCATCGAGAGGCAAATGTAACATTATGTCCACGTCCTCCTACTTGTACTGCTTCTTCTTCTTCAGGAGTGCTTCCCGTAGAGCAATCTGAATAAGAAAAACAAAATATCTTTTGTTAAAATGCAAATACAATTTCATCTTCAAGTTGTTTGTTAGATTTCAACCGATTTAACCACAGTCAAATACAGGCGTGACTTACCTGTTTCTCTCTGAAGGAGCGTTTGCCTTTGGTTCTGACATTCTGACTGTGTCTCATCATCATGAAGTTCTTCGTCTTCCTCTTCTCCCTGTTGCTGGTGCCGGCATGTGGGTTCAGCTTGGTCCGCTTCCTGACAAACTCCTTCCTGTCGGTTCGTCCCGCCTAGAAAAATCAAACGCATCATTAGAGCTGAAATGATTAGTTGACAGAAAATCAACTCAACTATTTTATTAATCAAAGTGGTAAAACATTATCTGGTTCCAGCTTCTCACATGTGAATATTGGTTGGTTTTCTTAGACTTCAATGATAGTAAAATGAATTTACTTGGGTTTTGGACAAGCGATATGAATGTGTGCGTTTTAAACTTTCTACAATGAGTCGTTAACTGGTTATAAAACAGTCTCAATTTAATACTGATGCCTCTATAATCAAACATAATCAGAGATAAAACCATCAGCAAGAAGATGGCTATTTCTATATAGTTATTTTTAATGTCTGCCACCAGGTCAGATTTGGTTGGATTCCCATGAATCAGATAAAACAAGGTGGGAAAAACACTACCACTTTTGTCCACAGGGGTCGCCAGTATCAACTAAAAGAAGAAAGGTTCTTGTAGAGGCTTTTTGAGGACCAGTGTGTAGGATTCAGTGGCAGATGGCAACCAACGGAATAACCACTCGCCTCCCAAGCGTGTAGGAGAAACTACGGTGGCTAAAAAGTCCTATCTGGAACCAGTGTTTGGTTTGTTTATTCTGGGCTAGCATAGAAAGATGGCGAAAAACGAAAACACAACCATTCTTATATTCAGGTGATTATACGCTGATTAAAAACATACCTATGCATATTATATTCCATTTCTGCTAAATCTTACACACTGGACCTTTAAACAACCATGACTCCCCTGGACAAGTAACTCTAAAATAGTTTGAATAAAGTTTTACCATTGCTGTTGCCAGGCGAGTTTCCTTGTCTGCTTTTGGTTTCTTATGCAGCTTCTCAATATTCCTCAAAGTCAGCACCTCCCCTCTGAAAGATTTAGAAGAAAATAAAACATAGAAAAACCTCAGTAAGATTCATTGGAATCTGACACCTGGAAGTAAAAAAAAAAAAAAAACATATTCCGAAGACAAGACTTTGTTAATAATGCAATGCTTTAAAGCTTTAGGCTCAAATAGCTTTCTAACCTGCTGTCACCCTCGTCGTCACTGTCCACTATCTTCCTCTTCTGGCCCTTGCCCGGTGCAGAGTTGACCTCCTTGGCCAACTGTACCATACGGATCTTCTTGAAGTCATCTTGAGTGAGGAGCCTGCTGCCGCTGACCGCCGCCGCTTTGGCTTTTCTTTCCTCGACCGGCATACTCTGAAGCTTCTCCGTCTTACACAAACACAGTTAACTCTTACATTAATACCTAATTAACCATCAGCAGATTAACGAGTTATGCAATTCAATGCTCACCACTTCTCCTGTGTCTTCATCAGACGAGTGGTGGACGTCCACCCACTCCCCGTCTTCATCGTCATCACTAATACTGGCACTTTCCCAGCCATCTGTTGTACGAAATGAAAGACACTCATTAATATTGATGGTCTATCATCTGTGTCAGAGTGCTGTATGAAACTGGATTCAGTTTTACAGATCAATTCAGCCACTGTAAGCCAATCCTATAGTTTCAATAATACAATAGCCGCTCACCTCCATCCTCCTCTCCCTCTTTGTTCTCCACTTCCACCTCAAGGACTTCAGCTCCAGGGATGTAGTCTTTAGCCTCGAGCTCTCCATAGTCTTTGATCTTGGCCTCCACTGAAGCCTCTGTGGGTCTCCCCTGGTAGACAAGAGGCAGGGTTTACAGTTACTCACATTGTAATACACATACATACATTTTTCCTCTGTTTATTTGTGTAATTACAACATAATTTATCAGGATGCCTTTCTAGATCAAACTCTCTACCGAGCAGGACCATGTACAAAAAAAACTACACTGACGAATCATAACTCTTTTCATGAATAAATTATTTAACATATATTATACTATGCAAACTATACTCACTGTTATTGAATGTAAAGACATCATTTATGTTTTTAAAAAGTGTTGTTTTCAGTTGGCTCACCCTGTCCCTCTTGTGCAACATCTGTGGGTTAAGACTCCTGAACAGCTGGATCAGTCCTCTGGCAGACATCATCACATCTGAGGGCAAATACGGGCAGGTTGTGTTGTGAGTGAACATACGCGCACACCTCCTTTAATTAGTGAATTCAGAATTGTGAGAGAAAAAAAAAAAAAAGACAGGCAGTCACTCACTCTTGTCTTTGTGGGTCTTGTACTGGGCCAGGTCCTTCAGCAAGTCTTCAGTGATGGCGAGCGGACAGCGGGCGGTCACTTCTTTGATGGCATTGATACTTGAGTACAAAAAAGGGGTGAAATTTACTCTAACACGGTAAAGTGATATTTGGCATGGTAGTTAAACATCTGAATGGATTTGTATTATCGGTTTGAACATTTTGGAATCAGGAAGTAGACGAGGCTGCTACTAACCCAACAGTCATGACCTCGCCGGAGTTCCTGTCGGTCACAAAGTTGTTGGCGATGGTCATGATCACGGGCTCAATGATCTGCATGAGTGGGAATGTACGGAAAGTGTTACGCTGGAATCCCAATGTTCACGCCACATGTTTTGACTAATAGAGTAAATCTGTAGATCTTAACGTACCTCTGGTGGGACGAGTTGATGGGAAGCCTGGGCGGCACACAGGAGAATCTTTGTCACCTCTAGGAAGACAAACAGTTTATTTAAAATATAAAAGGTCAAACGACTTTTATTTACTTAACTGAGAGTTATTTTTACCTCTTTGATGGGGCTGTAGAAACCTCTGGACGAAGGGATAATAATTGAAGAGGAAGAGCTGGAAAAGAGAGTATTATACTCAGTATAAAATATATATATAAATAATACCTCATTTATGCTTCTATTAAATATATACAGAAAGAACTGTTGCTTATTCTGCACATTAGCCATCATTAATCCATGCTGAAAAATCAATATCTGGTAGAAAAACACTGACATTTTATGACTTTTTAAACTTTTTTTAAAAAAGGAAAATTGTAAGCAAACTGTTACCTACATACATTCAGCAAATACAAAGCAACATTATTAGTAGTTGTATTTCTTGGTGAGCCTAATATTGAACTTCAACTATTTATTCTCCTTTTGAGCTCTGTTTTAGTCTCTTTTTAAAAGATAACTGCTCCACTGATCGTGGTACCGAAAACTACGTTGCTATGCTAACTCTGTCTGACCAGGTCGTGTACAGAGGGTTTTTAAAGCCGTCTGCTACAGCCTGAATAGGACGCTATGGGACCGGTAAGAGTGAAGTTACGTGCCAGAAAAACAATGAGCTGAAAATTGCTTTAAAGAGTTGGGTGATAATTATCTGTGGGTTTGTCACTTACCTCATGGATTCCAACCAGTCTGGATATGAGCTCCATCATCATGATCTTCACCTCGAAGCGC